CGCCAGAATGAAAGGTGGACAACTCATATTGAGTTATACTTATTATAAAACCCAGGTTGTTTGTGTATGTGTGTCCGTTTATATATGGGATCGGATTTCAACATTTTCAACCGATTTCAACAAAACTACACTTTGTTTTGGCAGGTAGTATTTCTTATTGTTCTTGTACACTTTTTTTCTTTTTTATTTTTACATTCAGAATGCTTTTTATAAATTCCATTTACAAGACAAATGTTTAGAATAAAATTCTATTCAATCGGTAGACTCCACACCATCGAAAACAATGTTTCAGCTTGGGTTTGACCAATTCGTAAAAAAAAAAAGAAAAATAAGACATGCGTGTCCATCAACCTTAAACAATAATCTTTGTCAATTTTATTTTTCCAGTCTTTATGATGGTCGATACTTGATCTATCTCTTTATGTTACAGAGCTGTGTAGACAGGACTTGAACAACATAGATTCTGTGGTCTGTGACTGTTGTTTTCAGTGGTGTACCTGAAGTGAATTGGCAAGAGGACACTACCAAAGGGAAAGTTTTGGATTTGCAAAGACTGTTATGCCTGAAGTGCTTAAAATATTCAGAGACTTTTATATTTCTTTTAATAATTGACGAGACCAGTAAAATAAGCGGGTTTGTCTATTTTACAGGGCAGGCAAAATGGCCTCTTCCTATATTTTATCAAGTTATCCACGAGTTCAAACAAATTAAGATTTTTAATTATTTCTTTTTTGGCAATTTATTCCACTTCCGATTCAAATTTAATTGAATTTTTTCTCTTCTGCACCCCCTCCAGCATTCTTACATCACTTAATCACTGATTGGATCCTTATTGGATCACTTGTCACTGATTGGATCCTTACTGGAAGGGAGATTTTAATACCAGAAAATAATTCCAGCAAAAAACAGTCAACCCTGGTTCACTCCTAAATGCGCTGCAGCCATAACTCATTGAAGTCACTACTTCAATATCTATCGCAAGGTACGATGTAGTTCTGCCCTTAACGCATTAAGAATTGTGTCCACAATCACTGCAAAAAGTTTCTAGAAAACGCCAATTTCAGCTACGCACATTCAATCTAGACCAAGGTTGAAGAGAAACAAATTGGATCCCATTAATTCTGGAAGATCACCAACAAAATCAGAAAAAGAGGTAAAGCGGCTGTGCCCACAATTGAAAATGGCCCCAGGGTTATATCTTCCTTGACAGATAAGGCGAATCTCTTCGCCTCCATCTTTACCTCTAACGTTAGATGACAAAGACCATCCTCTCATAAAGTTCGCACGTCTCACTCAGTACAATCTCAGTAATATTACCATTACAGCACGAGAAGACTCTAGATTTCCACGGGCCTTGACCTTAAGAAAACCATCGATTCAGACAAAATTCCAGCGGTTATTCATAAGAATATCAATCCGGAATTATCCCCAATCCGAGCAAAGTTATTCAAACGCTGCTTGACACGTTTCTGAGAAGTGCCAAACGTGGGACATATAAAAGTTGAAGGTTTTGTTCTGTGATGTGAAAAAAATTAACCTGGATGATCCAGATGGCTTTCACCGTCATTGGCACGATCAGAATATCCCACTGGTGACATCTACACGACAGTAGAGGAGGTTCGATCATGATCTGGGGTGCTATCTCCTGCCAAGGAACAGACCGCGGCTGGTTATATTGGTATGTTGGAGAAACAATCCTTATGACAACCAGGTACGAGCTTAGGTAGAAATGATTGGATCATTTAGCAAGACAATCGCTTAAATCTATAATGCTCGCATGGCAAAGGACTTTTTCACTGCGATTAACGTGATTTTTTTATTTATTTTTTCCCGACCGGAACCCATTGAAAATGTTCGGGGAGATGGCAATGGATATCTATCGAATTGAATGTCAACTCCAAACAAAGCATGGTGTTCGTAAAGCAATCCTTACCACTTGGAATAACATTCCAACCAGCATTCTACAAATGCTTATATCGAACATGCTAAAGCGAAGTTTTAATTTATTGACAATGACGGCCGTATATCTCATTACTGAGACGTCTTGATGGACATTTGCTACTCTGTTTAGGACTTCGTTTATGTCTGCTGTTAAACTTGTGACCAGCTAGTATTTTCCATAATTTTCTAGTATTCAAAATTTCCGTATTATGTGCTATTACAGTTTTTAATTTTTTTATTCTTAATTTCCTTTTTTAAGCTCTACTAAAATATATGGTCGAGTCTAACAAGACGAAATGTATTTTTTTCCTTTATTTTCATTCGCCTTATGTTAAAACAATTATAAACAATTATCAGAAATACAGTGGATTATACTATCAGGAGACAGCAGGAAACGGGACAAAACAAGACCAAAAGTAGGTATGGTAGACCAAAAGCGACAAAAAGAGCAGAGTACAATTTCATCAGAATCACGATCTTGCTGGACAGAAGGCTGACTGCTTCAAACATCACTGCACAACTGAAACAATATCGTGAAAAAATGTACCAACATCCACTGTTAGGAGAAGACTCTGTGAAGCTGGCCTATTTGGCAGAACTGATGACAAGAAACCACTGTTGAAGAATCAAAACAATACCAAAATGCTTCAGTGGGCCAAGGCACACAAAGACTGGACAATAGAACAGTGAAATAAAGTCCTTTGGATTTGATGAATCAAAGTTCGATATCTTTGGGTCAAGTAGAAGGGTCTGTATTTGCGGCGAAGTGTTTGCTAAATACCTGCAGCCCCTGTATTACACCAACCGTAAAGTATTGAGGAGTATCTGCCCTGGTGTGAGGTGCTTTGCCAATTGTAAAATTGGGGATTTGAGCGTCTGGCAAAGTGATTCAGACCGGCTAACACAGCATACTGCGGCATCGCACGATCCCATCTGGAGAGCGTCTTGTGCGTCAAGGATTTGTACTCCTGCAAGATAGTGACTCAGAGCATACTCGTAAACTCTGCTAGAGATACACTAAAAGCAAAAAGCACGTCCTTCCACTGAAGTCTTGGCCGGCACAATCAGCGGACTTAAATTCTACTGAGCTGTTGTGGGATGAACTTGACCGAAAATTCACAGTTAAACAACCCACAATTGCGGCTCAACTCTGGCAACCCTTGCAGGAAAGCAGGGCAAAATTATCTTTAGTCTACCTCCAGTCTTTGGCGGAAAGAACGCCGTAAATCTGTGAAGCAGTAATAGTGGACAAAGGAGGTCATTTTGATGAATCAAAGGTTTAAGATGTTTTTGTGTTTCTTGGTTTAATTTGTATTTAATGTGGTTCACGAAGACTTGTATCTAGTATCATACTTATTATAAAACCCAGGTTGTGTGTGTGTCTGTACGTTTATATATTGGATCGGATTTCCTATATTTTTCAACCAATTTCAACAAAACTTCAAAGGACTACGTAAAATTACCTTGCGGTGGGTCTGACAGCACCAACAATTGGAAAAACACAATTGTTTTTGCATGAAATTAATTTGAAAACATTATTAAGCGGCATCACTGTCGCCAGAATGAAAGGTGGACAACTCATATTGAGTTATACTTATTATAAAACCCAGGTTGTTTGTGTATGTGTGTCCGTTTATATATGGGATCGGATTTCCAACATTTTTCAACCGATTTCAACAAAACTACACTTTGTTTTGGCAGGTAGTATTTCTTATTGTCTTGCACACTTTTTTCTTTATTTTTACATTCAGAATGCTTTATAAATTCCATTTACAAGACAAATGTTTAGAATAAAATTCTATTCAATCGGTAGACTCATAACGATTGAAAACAATGTTTCAGTTTGGGTTTGACCAATTCGTAAAAAAAAAAAAAATTAAGACATGCGTGTCCATCAACCTTAAACAATAATCTTTGTCAATTTTATTTTTCAGTCTTTATGATGGTCGATACTTGATCTATCTCTTACTGTTACATCCCCGGGCAACGCCGGGCTCTATTGCTAGTAATAAATAAAACCCTTTTGGTGCTTAACTTATTTCAACAATTTCAGGCTGAGAAATATAAAAAATTTGAGGGTTAACAAATACATTTGACTGGTCGTGTATGTGTGAGTGTGTGTTTGTGTTTCTGTTTTTAAGATGTATAACAGTCTCCGATCCAAAATTTTTCATGATGAGCAAAAGTGTAAAAGCTATAATTAACGCGTTTCGACGCTTGCTTTGTTCGGCTTTTTCAGGTCATAATGAAAAACCACACGAGGACATATGGCCCCCCCACCCATGGATAAAAGCGTTGGTTAAAGTAATCCACAAGTGACTAGTCTCAAAGAGTTGTTAGTTAAATCCCTAACCACAGCAGAGTTGCACCAAAAACTTAGAGTGACTAAATGGAATTAACTGAATCCAGGAAAGGCACGGCACGTGGAACTAGAAAAATCTATCCCCGTAGACAAACTAAATGATTCGGTTCAAAATTGCAATGCATTTCAACAGAAAGTAGAACGGGCGAAATGCAGTTGATGTGAAAATAAAGATGAAGATAATAGTTCGAACTCTGTAAATAGTGAAATAATTACAAAACCTCAACTCAGAGACAGGCACTTCTAAAACTAGTGAAGCAGATCTTTCAGCTATGGTAGCTTCCCTGTAAACGGCACTTGTCTTCTTTGTGTGCGTGCGTGTGTGTGGGGGGGAGTGTCTGTGTTTCTGTAGGTGTGTGAGTGGTGTATGTGTGTGTTTGCTGACAGGATATTTTTCTTTCAGGATATAAATTAGCAACAAACAAAAAGAATTCATCTAATTTGCCACAACTTTCACTTATAACAAAATTCACATATGAATACTTTTAGCATATATATATATATATATATATATATATATATATTTTCGGGTATGTACATATTTTCACAATATGTTAAAAAGAGCCGAACTTATATATAGATAGATCAGAACAGAGATATATCATGATAGATATTAGGTTGGTGCAAAAATAATGTCTTTATAATGTTTTTTGACGTTCAACTTAACGTCAAAAAACGACATTATTTTTGCACCAACCTGATAGATTGATAGATAGATCAGAGCAGAGATATATCCTGATAGATAGATAGATAGATAGATAGATAGATAGATAGATAGATAGATATTGAAATGATTCGCGTAGATAGATTTAAGTTTATTCAGATAGATAGATAGATAGATAGATAGATAGATAGATAGATAGAAATTGAAATGATTCGCGTAGATAGATTTAAGTTTATTCAGATAGATAGATAGATAGATAGATAGATAGATAGATAGATAGATAGATAGATAGATATTGAACTGATTCGCGTAGATAGATTTAAATTTATTCAGATAGATAGATAGATGGATTGATAGATAGTAGATATTGAACTGATTCGCGTAGATAGATTTAAATTTATTCAGATAGATAGATCGATAGATAGATAGATAGATATTGAAACGATTCGCGTAGATAGATTTAAATTTATTCAGATAGATAGATAGATAGATAGATAGATAGATAGATAGATCGATGAATACTAAATCACATTAACATGTAAATATTAAAATTAGGAGTAAAAGAAACGAATGAAAAATTATCGCGTTCATATTTTCTCGCTGAAACTCAATCTTCTCTCAGCAAATTGTCGAAAGGCGACAAATTTCCCTATCAATACGCTTGCTACTGCCACGAGCTGCCAAAGTCGATTTCAGTTACATCTTTATATTGGAACCAAAGAAGATTGTTTTTAAAAAAATTCTTCTCTCTATTGTGGCAACAAGATCATTATCTCTATCATATTATTAGAATATGGCATCTAGGAGCCTTTTTTCCGTCAGTTGGTAAATTAAATTATCATCTTCAAGAAATATATTATCATCTCAACTCGGTGGAAGTTGCATGAAAATACTACTGGATACCAAATGTCTCGTCGCTTCTCTTCACAGAATAAGAGCTGAGGGAAAATGGCGGGTGGTGTATGGAAGAAATATCTCATATTAATGAGATTTGAAACAATAGTGATAAAGAAATATTCAGGTAGATATTTACATTTAAATTTTCCGTTTCCCTTCCAAGGCAATCAAGGAGATGAAATGTATTTATGAATCTTAGGCAAATGAAAGATAAAGTGGGGGAATAAAAAGATTATGTCTAACACGTTTCGACCGCGAAAAGAACTTCATCAGACTAAAGTAATTTTTTTGTTGAAGTGATATATATATATATATATATATATATATATATATGAGAAAAAGGGAAATCTAAATACGTAAGCGTCTTTTATAATTATGTATCGACAGAAAACGCTGAAGATGTTGGGGCATTGGAATTTTAACTTTTTAACTTTTATTTATTTTTTCAAACGTGTCTGGACATATAGTCTATCCGATTTCATCATGTTTCTTTATGCTTTTGTTTGTATTTTCCTCACCTTTATTATTAAGTATCCTCCAGTTTCATAATAGGAGATCTGCTAAAAAAAGTGAAATTATATAAGAACCTGGACGCAAATTTACCGTTAATGATCTAGTGATCAAAGCACTTTCTATACACTTTCACTTTCCCTTTCGTAAATTGCTTTGTCTTTTAATCAAAGCAGCAATTTTTAAATCGAAATTATGGTCAGACTCATTACGGTGAGCGACTAATGCATAGAGTCTTTTGTTTTGTAAAAGATATCTTTTTCTGTTCGCATAATCTTATATTTAAATTCATCGAGGTTTCACCGATGTATTCTTTGTGGTAATCATTACAGGTGATAGAGTAAATTCCTCCTTCAATATTTCCTACTCTGTCATTTTATAACATTTTCTATCATTTAAGAATGCTTAATCAGTATTACTTAATAAATAACTGTCGTTTATAGAGAAAAATAAAAAAAAAATCCGATTATGACCTGTGTGCGTCTGTTTACACACAGAGTCCTTGTTACAACTTATTTGTATCTCTTTATATCCGCCATGTTTCCTGTTCATAGTGGGGTTTTTTTCCCCAGAATAATAAGGCTTATCCCAATCGTTCGTGGGTAACACAAAAATAATGTCATAATTCGCCATGGGGATTAAAATTATTCTATTTGCGCAGCGCTCACCAGATTTACCCGTCGCCCATTGAGAATTTATAGGATATATTGCAGGCATTAATATCTGTCCCACAAATGAAAAATTAGTTACAGACAGACTTGAAAGTCATGGAGAGTTCAGAAGCTAGAGAAAAGCTGGAAGAAAATTATGTGAAAAACGCCCATTTCTATTGTATTTAACTTTTTAATCATTTCACCCCAAAGAAGACAATAAAGCCACCAAGACACAAGAGGTTACTGAGTGTGAAGCGATGCAGAAAAAGAAAACTTTATTAATGATAATGAACAATAAAGAGACAGAAAGTAACGATTGAAGTTGCGCTTAAATTCTTAAAGTTCAAAATTGATTGGAAAGTAAAAAACAGGGAGATAGTTCCACAAGCGAGAAGTGTGAGAGAAGAAACTACTAGCATAGAACTTACGGTTACATTTAACCATTTAAAATGTAAAATAATAAAATCTTGTTGTCTTTCTAGTACTACGCTTTACCATAGAAGAAAGTAACTTTTATTTTGATATAATACAAAAAAGTGATAAAAGACTAATGTGGGGATAGGTGAAGGCTGGTATTTGACTTATCCACGATTACTGACCCAAACATACCACAGTTTCTCTTACACTAAAACAATACTTTCTTACCATTCTTACTACAGACATCATAAAACCATATGTCACTATGCAGTTTTAACTATACCTTGTGCAAATTAATTGAAACGACAGCTTTAGTTTCCTTTTTATTCAGCATACACTCAGTTTTAGATCCACTGGAGTGACAAGGTGTAATAGATTTCTGTTTTTAACTTAGATTAGGTCATTTGCAGTGGTGTGCAGTAATATGAATCTATTTTCGGGGTGTAGGATGAAATTTGTTTGGCCTTGAAAAATATTGCATCACCCGTGATTGTATCAGACTTTTATCACGCCCAGACACTATTTTCTCGACTGTCGATTAGTTGTATTACGGCCATTGTCTGCGATGGACGTTACTCCAAGGAAGCGTACGAAAATTGTAACGCTGCGCGAACAACTAACAAACCTTTCCAGTGAGCGAATCAAAGTTCTATAGATTGTTGAGGAAACTCTCCTGATTTAAATCCAGTCCCGAATCTGTGGTCAATCTGCAAGGAACGATTTCGTGGAATGGACATACGAAGTACTAGCATGTGCACTGAGCCATGTTTCATTGGAAAAATATGAAAAAAAATAACTGAATTATTCGTTTTGTTTCAATTAATTTTCACAAGGGTGCAGTTCCTATATGTACAATTTGTTTCGGTGGGGGTGGGGATAAAATAACAACATTTAGAAAAATGAAACACCAATGAATATTTACAATGAAGACAATTTATATAAAATAAACTTAACATAATAGTGCTAGAAGAAAATCAATCAGAACAATTACCATGAAAATATTTATAGAAAAGGCCCAGAGAATCTGCGTTACAGCGGTAGGAAAGCATAAAACTGTTGGTCGCGTTGTCAACCTTGACAGTATTAATGAAGCAGTAATATAGATAGATGAACCATGATAAAAGTATTCAAATACATCATTATTTTTTCTTAATAATATATAGCAATCAACATCTCTTTCTCTCTCTCTCTACTATATATATATATATATATATATATATATATATATATATATATATATATATATATATATATATATGAAAAAAATATACAGAAAAAACAAACAAAAATTTAATATATAATTATGCTGTATTAATATTAATATAAAGTCAACGTCGGACGTTTCGGTCTATTTTAGACCATCATCAGGACTTATTTATAAAACATAACATTAGAACATATAAAATTTATATTAGTTCAATCGAATTTGTTTAATATTTTAATATTTTGAAATCATCTTCGAATACGTTTTCACAACATCGCCCACGTGACGACGACGTGATCATATTTTAAACGGAACGCTGATCTTATATAAAAATTTCAGTTATCTGTTTGGATTAGTTGTGCTCTTATGTCCATCGTCTTTTCATGGTGAATTTTATATGTTCTAATGTTAATTATGTTTAATGAAAATGTCCTGAAGATGGTCTAAAATAGACCAAAACGTCCGACGTTGACTTTATATTAACATTAATACAGCATAATTGCATATTAAGATTTTTATTTGTTTTTTCTATATTTTTTCTTCATACTGTCGGATCTATATCCATATATTTGCTTACATATATATATATATATATATATATATATATATATATATATATATATATATATATATATGGATATATATATATATGTGTGTGTGTGTGTGTGTGTGTGTGTGTGTGTGTCCATCTGCAGAAATAGAAATAAATCTGTAATAGAGAATGTTGGCTTGGGTTAAATTTATAGCCACAACCAACCTGCCTGTTTCCCAAGACACGTACATTCTGGTCTCCACAGCCAGCACGCCTTAAATGGTATTATACCCAAATCGGTAACCATCTCTTTTCAGCCCATCTCTGCCAGCTCCTCTCGTTGCGTAATATATACCGAAAGCCACATGAAGGCCACCCAAATATAGAGTCGAGTATCATGTCCCTTGAACTGCCTGAAGAATATGAGACAGCCGAATAACATCATGGGAGACCGCATGGAATGGTAAGTCGACTGAAAGGCATCCATATTTGAATATTGTTTTTTTTTTATAGTTTATATTGTCTCTGTTTATCTATTTTGCATCGATAATCGTTCTTCCAGCGTCCATATTTGGTTTATTACACGCTAAAATAAATATACTGTTTATTAAATAAATGGAGCATCTGCTCAAATGCAAGTATACACTAAAAATAACGTACAAAGTGATACAAATAAGTCGAATTAATAAAAAAAAATAGTTCTAAAATTCACTTTAAATACGTTTGTATACGAAACTGTGCAGATGTGAATAATTTCGGTAGATCTATGACGAGAGAACATTCTCTTTGCTTACGTTTGGATACGAAACTATGCAGATGTGAATAATTTCGGTAGATCAGTGACGAGAGAATTTTTCGCTTAAAGGTACAAATTCGGCCTCAACTAACTAATCGGTTCTCCGTAGGTCAGTTGGTCAGAGCTTATCGTATTTAACGATAGCTCAACCTGTCCAGAGGGACGCAGAGTCGAATATCTACCAGAGAGAGTAAACTTTCTTTTTATTTCTCGTTCTTCCAGACAGAAATGGTAGACAGAAATAAATAAATATATTGTTTAATAAATGATGTAACGTTAGACTCAAATATGAGTATCCAGTAACCTAATGCTTAAAGAGGTAATATATATATATATATATATATATATATATATATATATATAGAGAGAGAGAGAGAGAGAGAGAGAGAGTGAGAGGGAGGGAGATATTTTATAGAAACCTTATTAAGGTGTGAGAAAAATAAAAGAGGAATCAAGAAGACTTTAAGTGAATTTAAGTTTTTGTTGACGAAAGTCGGTGTGAAACCATGAAGCTGGAGGAGAGTTCCACAAGCGAGAAGTGCGATCATTATTTACATCCAGACGGATGACATCGTTTATGTTGTTATGAAATCTCTTTGGCAGTTGGTCCCTACAGTCTTCATAAATTATTGAAATATAGAAATTTTCCCGAAAAGAAAAAATTCTAAGAAATTAAATGAAAAAAAACTTAACCGTAGTATCTTGTTAATCAGTAGTATTTAATGAAATTTGTATAAAAAAAGCGATTGCTGTCAAAATGCACAATTATCTATCTATCTATCTATCTATTTATCTATCTATCGTGGCAACCGGACGTTTATCCACACTGATGAGCTGTGATACACCGAAACACTCTGTCTGTGGATGACAATATATATGCTCCTGAAAAATTTATTTCGGTTGAGCTCTCTGGGGAGGAAGTGTGAGTTTGTAAACGGCGACTATTATGGCTGATAATGCAAGACCCTTTG